CGTAGGTTTCAGGTGTGTAGGGCATTCTACTTTCCTCACCTAAGCAGGGGTGCCAGAACAGGGGGAGACAGGGGACCATGGCCCCATCACTTCTTACCGGCTGTAAGGCAAACAACGGGTGAGAAGGGGCGGAGAGGAGCGAGTGGGGGCGGGGCCTCAGAGGCGGGGCGTGTAGGGGCTCAGGGGGAATGGGTGGCATGAGGGTGGGGGCTCAGGGAGAAAGGGTGGTGTGAGGGGTGGGGCCACCGGGGGAAGGGGTGGTGTGGGGGGTAGGGTCCCAGTTTGGGTGCTGGCAGCCCCTCCACTTTTAGAGAGCTTCCGTCGCTCCTGCTCCTAAGCCATTCCTCACTGACTACACTAGCTGGGCATGCTCTGTGTGTACTCTATACCCCACTGTAGCTTTGAAGACATATCTTTAGATAGATAGGGCAGCCAGCATCAGCCTAGCTCCTGATGGATGCTGGGAGAAAAGTACTGAAAGAGGCCCTGATATCGACAGGGTTTGGAGCTTCCTTTCATGGATTCCTTCCTGGTGTTCATAGGTTTTAAGGCCAGACTCCCATTGTTCTTCATAAACTTATAAATCCCTCCCAATCAAAGGGAGCTTTTGGCAGAGAAAGTGTCTCAAAAGTGGACCTACCAGGGTTTCCTGAGTCCTGTTTCAGGTTTTACCACAGGCAGGTACAGAGAACCATTAACACTTCTGTTGTGCTCTTCTAAGGGCTTGTCTTCACTACCCGCCTGGATCGGCGGGTAGAAATCGATCTCTCGGGGATCGATTTATCGCGTCTCGTCGGGACGCGATAATCGATCCCCGAATCGACGCGCGTACTCTACCAGCCCAGGTAGGAGTAAGCGCCGTCGACGGGGGAGCTGCAGCGGTCAATTTGCCGCCGTCCTCACAGCGGGGTAAGTCGGATCAGATACGTCGAATTCAGCTACGCTATTCCCGTAGCTGAATTTGCGTATCTGAAATCAATCCCCCCCCCGTAGTGTAGACGTAGCCTAACAGAAGCACCAACTTATCTTAGTCTAGCTCATTAGCCACATAGCTGTTCCAGTTGAGTTGTCATAGCAACAGAGAATGATTATGTCTGGAGCCGCTGTGGGGAAGATACTTAGAGAAGGTTGAGTTTCTTTCTGTTTTTAAGCTTCCGGGATGGTTTAATGCTGGTGTTTGTAACCCTGCAAGTTTTGAAGAAGGTAAAAGACCTGAAACGATTTGGTCAAATATATTGGGAACTAAGACAAATTCAAAGAACAAGGAGTTGTATTTATTTCATGATATGCTAGAATTTTTACTTGATAATGAAGAGGGTTTTGAACCACATTCAAACATAGAATTAAACTGTTTGGAATCAGCAGATCATGCTGTCTGTTCTCAAGGATTTTATTTGAAAAATAGGGTGGGTACTCTCAGGGCCGGCTCCAGGGTTTTGGCCGCCCCAAGCAGCCAAAAAAAAAAAAAGCTGCGATCGCGATCTGCGGCGGCAATTTGGTGGGAGGTCCTTCGCTCCCAGGTGGAGTGAGGGACCGTTTGCCGAATTGCCGCCGAATACCTGGACGTGCTGCCCCTCTCCGGAGCTGCCGCCCCAAGCACCTGCTTGACAAGCTGGTGCCTGGAGCCGGCCCTGGGTACTCTAATTTTAGGGCTCAAATCCTTCAAGTCTTGCTCAGACAAGGCTCTCATTGAGGTGAGAGACTGGGAGTTGTATGTACTTCTCAATGCATTACAATTATGAACTAAAATGGGAGTTTTGGCCAAGATGCCTGCAGGATTAGTCCCAAAACATTTATTGTGGCTGGATGATGGAAATAGTTTACAGATGAGATTAAAGTTAATCTAATTGCTGTATCCTAGCAATCTATGAAGTCATTTAGACATCTGACTGGTTAGTGTGTTGTTGAGAGTCTCTGTACTAGCAATAGCTATTCCTCTGTGTATCCAGAAATTCATAAACTCTTCAGCTGAGTTGCCTGTAAAAGGACCTAGTCTTTCCTACACGCAAGACTGGGTAAATAGATTAGGTGTACTTATTGGCTCAAACAGCTTGAGTGAAATTGAATATGTAAAATAGTTGGAACTGAACAAGTCAGTCTCTTTAGCTAGAGTTAAAATGAGATTTCTGTTCTGGCTTTGTGTTTTTAGTTATGCTTGAATGAGTCATGTTCAGGAGATTATTTTATATCAAGGTCTGTACCAATAATCTATTGCATTTTATTTAAGGTAGAAGTGGTGCTAGGTATTTCAATAAAATGATGAATTGTAATATCAGTGGGGAGTCCCCTTCCCGTTGCTGGATGGGTTCCCTTGCAGAGTTTAATGGATGAGGGAATTTTTGCCTGCTGGGATAGTCTCCACTCACATGGGCTGCTGCCCTTATATCACCCCTCACCCCACCCTTTTCTATTACAATTACCTGATGGAGGAGGAGAGAGGGTGTTGCCAGGGTTCTGGAAGAGACTTTTGAAATGAAGTCAGTATGAGATAGAAGTGGAGTCTATATTAACCCCTCCCCCATCCCTATCAGAACGAGGAAGAAAACATACTGTATATCTATGCAGTGTGGGTGTAGCCATGTCGGTCCCAGGATATTAGAGAGACAAGATGGTGAGATAATTTATTTTTTTATTGGACCAACTTCTGTGGCTTGAAAGCTTGTCTCTCTCACCAACAGAAGTTGGTCCAATAAAAGATATTACGTCACCCACCTTGTCTCTCTGCTCTATTTGTAGACATTTTGAGTCTGCACAGTATACACTTCATAGGCCTTATAGATATGGGGATACAGAGCAACTGCACAGAACCATATGTCTGAGCTCTCCCTGCATCCATGTTACTATCTTCTCCCCATAGAGACTAGGAAACTAGGAGAGGTGGGCTTGAGCTGCAAAATCACTTCTAGATCTGAGCTTCCTCATATTTGGGGGAAGTTGGATCTGGAGGATTTGTTTGTTTAGCCCATAATAAAAATGAAGTCCAGTTGCAAAGTATGGATCTGATCTGAATCTAGCCAAAGTTTGGGAGTGTTTAAACAAGCATTTTGGGTCAGGCTCATTTCTAGGAAAAAAAAAAACAATGAGAAACAGAACAATAGAGCCATTATGTTAGCCACTTAACTATATTATTTTCTAGATGTGATTAATCTACTGCATAGAAATTACAAGGACAAGTTCTTGAAATACATTTGGGGTATTTTGGTCTGTATAAGAATCTGATAAGAATTTAAATCCTTACGTTATTTTCTTTAATCTTTGCCCTTACTGATGACCTAAAATGTTTGTAAATGTCACAGTGTAATCAAGGCTCTTGCCCATTTGTAGGGGAAAGTCAGCTGAGGTAAGGGAGCACCATCATGCAATCTGTCAGTAACCCCTGTTCCACAGGGGCATCTTGCATTGGCTGTGCAGCCCAGAAGGTTAGCAGAGCCAGCATGAGCAGATCTAGGGAACCTATGAGATGCACTCATTCAGCACATCTCCCAGGCTGCCTCTGTTAGTGTGGAAAAGTAATGGTGTCCCAGCTGGAACATGAACATTGTCTCATATGGTGGAATCCCAAGAAGAGACTGAAGGGGGAGGGTTGAGGAATATAATATTCCAGTGGGATAATCCTTATTTTGTTTAGGACAGAGTTTTATGGTTAGACACACATTCTGGTGTCAGAAAAGCACCTTTACTGCTTTGACCTAATTCATCCCTGATGCAGGTCAATTTAATCAATCAGACATGAACCTGGCCCTTCATGTGTATTTTTATTTTTGCTAAAAGCAATTGTACTTTTTGTGCCAGCAACTGATATGCAGCTAATAAAAACAATGGTTCAACTTCTGCCATCCTTAATTGAGCAAAATTCCATTGAAGAACTTGGCCCTTATCAACGAGCTGAGTAATAATTGACAGTAGAGTGGAGAATAAGGTCAGACACAAACTACAGCTCTTAGTATATGCTCAGTGCTCATATTCTTATATAAGCTCCCTACACAATACCAGATGAGATCTTATATGAGTATTAACACTCATCCACACCTACCTAGCAGCAGAGGCGTAGCGAGCGCCCTCCGTACCCTCCGACCGGAGGGGGCCCCGCAAGGAAGGGGGCCCCTAAAAGTGGCAAAATAAATACCGCATTCCAGTTTCTGCATTGTAAGGGGCCCCGCCCGGACATATGTTCGGAGGGGTCCACCGTTCGGAGGGGGCCACATTCTTTGTTGCTACGGCCCTGCCTAGCAGAGTCTCAGGAAGGCACAAGATAGATAAATAAGTGGCAAATGATTATGAAAATATAATCCTGTTGAATTATACTTGTATGGATGTGGAAGTACCATGCAGATTTGCAGAACTGGACAAATAATGCAAAAGATGTTATGCAAATATTTAATCACATTTAAAAATGAATTTGCTTCAGATATGCTCATGTCCTTTTTGTATTCGATTTCCATAATAATTTGAGCAATCAGGTTTTACTGACACATCTATGAAAAAAGAATTTCAAAGTCACACTCATGGGTGTTCATTGGGGCAGAATTTTAAGTTAGCTGCAAGTGCTTATTTGTTTACTCAATCAGGAGAAAGGATCAAGACCATATGGCTTATCTGACCAATGAAAATGAAGCAGTACAGATCGAATTTCAAATACCTGCAATAATCTGATAGAGTAAAAAATTCATTGAATATGTTTGAATAACAAATACATTCAAGGAAATCATAATCTGCTTCCAGATATCCCAGGGCCAGGAAAAGAGGATACATTCATTGAACAAATGGTTGAGAATTATTCATTCATCTCAGCAAATGTACCAGTAATACACTGTAATGTAGCATTTACCTCTGCTCTCAGATTAGAGTGTGTCCATTCTAGAATCAAGTTTACCAAATGAATCAAGATTTATATATGAAGCTATTTATTCCCCAGTGGAAAAAAAAAATCATGGATTACTTTTTCTTTTGGTTTTGTCAGCTAGAACCTTATTGCTCCCTGATTTTTCTTCCAGCATCAGCACCCCAATCTGATGAAGGCTCTGACATAGATTCTGAACCAGATTTACCTTTAAAAAGAAAGCAGCGTCGTAGTCGAACAACCTTTACTGCAGAACAACTAGAAGAACTGGAAAGAGCTTTTGAGAGGACCCACTACCCTGATATTTACACTCGGGAAGAACTTGCACAAAGAGCCAAACTTACTGAGGCTCGGGTTCAGGTACATGTTTAAAAAGCTGTCTAAAGAAAGCAGTTTCCTTTTCCATCATTGCATAGGTTTATTAGAAAGCTGAAAGGTCATTTTGTTTATGTTCTTGTATAACTATAATATGGGATAAAAGGAAAAATGAGAAGCCAGGTTGTTTATAAGCTCAGTTGTTGGGTTTTTTTTTTTTTTTTTACACCTACCAATGGACAATGGTTTTCCAATTTTCATAACTGTGAATCACTTTGAAGGAGAGATTTTTTTGTTGTTTACAGATCATGGTACACTTACAATGAATGTAATGGAAAGAGAATAGAGAAAAAAATTATCTATTTTCCCAATTTGCTTAATTTGCACACTTGACAACACTTTGTATATAGTCTGTTTAACTGTTTCCCCCACTATAATTAATTAGCTAGTTTCCCCTGGTTTGTATTGGACAGCAACATGGGAGAGAATTAAAAAAAAAAAAAAAAAAAAAAGGAAAATTTGACTGTAAACCACAAAAGTTGAAAGGGTGACTCAGGTGTGTACTACCTGAAACTACTTGCACTTTAACTTATGAAGTTGACGAGATTTCAAGTATATGGTATCTCCTTTCATCCCCATTGTCACTTCAATTAAGAAATCCTTGGACATACACATTTTCAAAATTATATGGATCTGAGTAGATGTAAACAAATTAAAATTCTGATGGAGAAAATAATGGGATTGTATAAATAGGCATAAAGTGGGTTTCCAAACCCCCCAGTTGGCCAATTCTGGAATGGACTGTCCCAAAGAGTTTAGGTTCAGAGTGCATCAGACACTTTCTGCTTCATGGTTGCCGAAGAGAACTACTTCTTACCAAACCCAAAATCATACAAAACTTGCCTGGTTTGGAGTTCCATTACTAACTGAAAACAAGGATCAGATTTGCTAACAATTGTGATTCATTTCAAAGGATTTGTGCCCCATTTTGAGCTAGTCTCGAGTGGTCTTGGGTAAGCTTAACTTTGGGTGTTTAACTCAGGCAAAATGTGTGTCTGCACATATTTCAGGAAGGAAAACAAATGAAATTTGGTTGCTTTGGCTGAATTTTGCTTTGATGTTTTGAGTTCTTTTGAAGTTGAACGGGGGGGGGGAGGGATTCCAAATCCCTGTAAATTGAAACAAATAACCAAAAATATTGGCGCTAACCCTTGCAAAATAAGAGTGCCAATTGCAACACAGCTCTATTGCTGTGTATACTTCCTCATGGACCCAGCCATTTTGAATTTTGCCCATTTTTGACTTTCTTACTGAAGTGTTCACAAAGCTCTCGTAACTGTCCTGTTACAATTGGGAAAGCAAATCTACTGCGTGGATGAACTGTAGTTCTTTGAGAAGATAAACTCAATGAGGCATAGTTCCATTATTACTTGAACACCTTTACTGAGAGTGAAAAGCCAACAAAACAGATGACAGCATCTTAAATGGAATTGTACTGCACTAGACTAAACTGGGCAGTGACAATGGGATGTGCTGTGCACAAATATAACAACTATGATCTTCTACACTAGGTCTATTAGGAGTAAGAATAGCTTCTAGGGTATGGAGTTCCAGTCTACATTTACTTTAACGTCAAATGTGAAAAACAATAACAAAGTTATTAATATTTTTCTTAATTAGTGACCCACAGTTAGAAGAAAAGCAGAACTCTCATTAACATAACAGCTGTCTTAATGTGGCTTTAACCCTGTGACTTCTTACATTCCTTATGACTTCCTCTGTTCCCTTGAGACTCTCACCAATGCTATGATCTACAGCCTCACAAATTCCCTAGTACCTCTAACATATGGATCTTTGACTTAACCCAGCATGGAAGGAAAGATCCCAGTCAATCAATGATTAAAATACCAGAACTAAACCTTTTCTGGATTAAAGAGGAGCTTCATCTGAAATAGCCAGTCTGTGGGTACTTGCTTAGTCTTCTCCATCTGCCTGGAACACTAGAAGTCTGACAGAGTGGTTCAGCACTAGCTGAAGATTGTACACAGTATTGCATAAAACACATGTATGAAGGACATGATCTAAAAGAAGAATCATAAAAGGAAAATTGCAAAGTGATTTAAGGATGAGGAGGTGGATGGCTATAATGACATGGCATTCGTAGTTTTGCTTAATCATCTTTCATTGATTTACATTTTTTTTTTTTTTGGTGGGTAACATTCATAGACTCATAAGACTGGAAGGGACATGGAGAGGTCATCTAGTCCAGTCCTCTGCACTGAGGCAGGATGACCCCTGACAGGTGTTTGGAGATTTTTAAGAGCAGGTTAGACAATGATGGAGATTCCACAACCTCCCTAAGCAATTTATTCCAGTGCTTAACTACCCTGACAGGATTTTTTTCCTAATGTCTAACCTAAACTGCCTTTGCTGCAATTTAAGCCCATTGCTTCTTGTCCTATCCTCAGAGGTTAAGGAGAACAATATGATAGGAGTCTAGAAAAATGATCATTATCAGTAGCTGTGTCATTTCCCCCCCCCCACCACCACACCCGGGCTACTGTAACAGCAGATACTGTTTTTATCATGCAGGAAGCCACTGTTGTATGTCAGTTACTAGTTTTTATACACTATGAAATATCTGCCAAAACTAGGGTGACCATATAGCAAGTGTAAAAAATCAGGACGGGGGTGGGGAGTAATAGGTGCCTATATAAGAAAAAGCCCCCAAAATCGGGACTGTCCCGATAAAATCGGGACATCTGGTCACCCTAGTCAAAACCAATCCTCCCTCCAGCCTCTTAAGGCCTCACTGCAGGAGCTCCATTCCGACACATCTACTGTATTGGAATGAGGCTGCACTCTGGGGAACCACAAAACATTTGGCAGACTGAGAAGCCACCTCCATAGTGGAGCTGCTAATTCTGCTCCTTTAGGGTATGTCTACATGGCAATTAAAAACCATGCCAGCTGATTCGGGCTAGCAGGGCTTGGGCTAAGGGGCTGTTTATTTGAGGTGTAGATATTTGGGCTTAGACTGAAGCCCAGGCTCTAGGACCCTGCAAGGGGGGAGGGTCCCAGAGCTCAGGCTCCAGCCCGATCCCAAATTTCTACATCGCAATTAAACAGCCCCTTAGCCCAAGCCCTTTGAGCCTGAGTCAGCTGATGCAGGCCAGCTATGTGTGTCTAAC